CCAAAAGTAGGAGACGACAGAGAGAGAGACGCGAAGCGAAGGAGCGCGGGGCAGGGCACAAATGTAGGCATGAGCCATGCACTGAGAGAAAAGCAGGGGCCAGTTCCCAGGACTTGAAAGGAGAATAAACAAATGGAAATTGACTCCATGAGGATCTACATTCCGTAGCTTATAGCCATTAGGTATATAGAGTTTTTGCGCAGTGCATCAGTAGACCTCTGGCTCCTGGCTCTGCTGCTCCACCTTCCACTCGATAGCCTTCCCCATGCCATATATCTCTAAAAGATATTCCTGCTGGGGGGCTGCTGTTGGGAGGGGCGGTACGATTGGCATCGTAAAAGGCGAAAATATTGCGCAAAATAATGTTTCATTTCGGTAAAATAACATACTCATCATTGAATATACAATATAAATGCAAAGAGCAGAGGCAGTGAAAGCAGTAGCAGCAGCAGCAGCAGCAGCCGTAAAGGACTAAGGAGCAAGAGCGAAGGACTCTTTGGTGGCCAGTCAGCAGCAAGGAAAAGCGATACATTTCCCCACCTTTTAACCTCTGAGCCGAGAACTACACACACACAACATTTTGGCACATATGAGTATGAGTTATATTTTTTTGTATAGGTTTTTGATCATAGTTCTCTAAGCGTTAAATAAATAAATAAAAATATTATTATTGTATTTTTATTTCAATAATTTTTTAACTATATAAAAATATGCCAAATAAAATCTTACGCTAAAGCAAAATATGTGTTGAAATAAATGAAAAGCAAGTTCGGTTTTGTGTTCCCTTTAAAGAGAATAAATAAGACTAGAATGTAAAAATATTAAAGAATTAAAAGATTTATTAAAATCAATATACTTAAAAATAAATGAAACTGATGCCAGTTCTAATTAAATCGAATTCAGCTGGAAATCGATTTCAGAAAACCTCTTGGATTAGATTACCAAGCCAGGAGACTTGGGAAATTCTTCGCACAATAAAAAAAGCAAGCTAACTTGTTACCTTCAAGTAATTTCCAAGCCTAAAAATTAGCTTAAAAAAATCTGGAAATGAGTTTACTTAGCAACTGGCGCAACATTTAATATTTCCAAGTTCTGAATAAGGTACCGTAAAAATATCCAGCCAAAGTCCGCAACATATCATTAAAATATAATCCAAAATGACAGAAAAACAAAAAAAAAAAACCAGAATACAAAACACAACTCAAACAAAAGCCACAACCATGAGGGTCCTGCAGCTGTTGAAGGTTGATTTTGCGTTTGAGTTTGAGGATTGCGTGTATGCGGTTCTTGCCCCACACACCAAACCACACATAACAATGGGGCAGGCACACAAAAATGTGGCATTCCACGCTTTTGAAATCAATCTTCCTAATGACAGCCATCCCAGAAACAGCCAAACAGCCAAGCAGCAAACAGCAACAGAAACTGGAATAAAAGGCGACTTGTAGACACGTGCGTTTTTTCCCCCTCTCTCTCTCTCTCAGCCCTCTCGCTGTTTCTCACGCTCAAGTATCTGGCACTTGTAACGGTAATCGATCTGAACAATAACAGAATGAAATGGCATAAAAAAGTATATTATATATTAACAGCAACACAGCAAAAACAAAACGCCAAAAAAACCTGACAAGGCACGAAAACGCACTAAAGGAAGGAAGCAAGGAAGGTAAGAAGGGAACCACCTCCCAAACAGATGTCTGCCACTCTGATGGAGGTTTTTCTTTGGCAACGACTGGCAGATGATTCCAAAACAATTTTCACCTTTTGTTTGAGGTTTTTGTGTGAATTAGAGTGTGGCTTGTGGGAGGGGCTTGGGGGGGTTCCAAAGAGGAGTTTAAGTGTTTCCCAAGAAAGGGATTGGGTTTATATTCTGAGAAAATTAAATGCAATTGACGTCCCAGCGGAAAGTAATTGGATAGTCAAGTGTCTCTCTCTCTCTGTCTCTGCCAGAAGTTATTTTCTTACTGCTCGATTTGAGTGGATTGGAATACATTTATCCAGCGGAATAATAAAATTCTAAAATACGATATAATTTGGTGCTTATTTTGGAGAGATATTTTGATGGATTTCAAAATTTTGTGGGCCTTTTTTGGGATAGTAGTTTAAATGTCCAACAAATATTTAAATAAAACTATTATTATTAAGTTGGCAAGTCAATCCAATTTTTTAGGAAGCCTACGAGACTCTGCACTGCTTCGTAAATCACACCAAAAAAGTTCTTCCATACCCTGTTCTCCCAGCCCAGAATTCTACAAATTTCCATCGATATTTTTAACAGAACTTTGACTTTTATTGTTATTGTTATTACTCCCAGAGGCACTCACTACTATTATTATTGTACAAATCAAAAAAGAATATTCACAATGCTCCTAAAGGCCAATGAAAATAATACAAAAAAAACATTTTTCATATGAAAAATATACTTACATTTAAAAAACAAAACCATAACTAAAAACATCCCTCCCAACATATGGAAATATATTGCACATTTCTTTAATCGTTTTTTGTCATAATTTGATTCGTTAATTCCCTTCACAAAAATGCATTAAAGTTTTTTGCGTAATTGTTAAATTGCATTTTAATCTAAATTAAAGTAAAATAAAAGAAAAACATTTACTTTTCAATTTGCATAAATATAAAAAAAAAAAAACACTTGCAAAAGGGAAAAACTTTTCTTAATGCAAAAACAGAAAAACATTAAAAAAGAAGAGCGAAATGGCATTGTATAAAACTTTAACCCACTCGAAGAGAGGCACACTCTGAACAGTAGGACGGGTGGGTGGGTTTACGGTATAAGGCAGGGTGGCATGGTGGCAGGGGTTAGAGCGGCAGGGATGAGGGGGTAAAAAGTACATTAAAATCACATTAACCCGTCAACGGTTAAGGCACTAAGGGGTATATGCGTAACTTTTGTTTATACCTTTTGGCTTAATGCCTTTTTGAAGTACACAGCCACACATGCACACTCACTAATACACAGGGGGGATATAAGTGCCTCCTGATAAGCCACATATCCTCATATATAAAGTATCTTTTTTGTCAACTAAAACCGAAAACCATGGGGGCCATGGCTGTTGGAACTGCGGTATGCAATCCCTTTGGGAACTGAGAATTTTAATACCTAAAACCAAATGTATCTCTCAATTTGTGCGTTGGTTACACTTGAAGAAAATGGAGGTACATTAAATGGTAAAAAGCACTCTGAAAACTCTGAACAGTAATAAATAATTTTTCGCATTTACGATGGGAATTTTAGACAATTTATTCCTAATACAGGAATATATTGAAAATTGATCTGAAGTGGAAAGATAAATGGTAGATCGGTTATACGATAAACAAAGTTTCCTAGGATTGCCAGTTGTTGATATACAAGATGCGAATATATACGAAATTCATTCTGCCTTTGCTTATAAAATATTTTCATAGGCAAAGATCGTCAGAGGCTATAAAATAATCCCAACCCCTGAATCCACATTCATGACAGTCCCTCTTTTTCCCCGTGTGTAATAATTGTCTTTTCGCCTCTAAATTGTTACCCCCACAGACAATTGCTTCTGACATCATGGACTGCCATCCCTGCTGCCCCCTTCAACCCTCTCTCAAGGTCTATTAGCCATTAAGCTTTTGGAAGGGGGGAACAAATTGTCAAAAAATTGTTGTGGGTACATATCAAATATGCAGCCAACGGGAATTCGTATCTTTGTATCTCTATTTTTATCTGTATCCTGAATATTTATTTGGGGTTGTGCGTGTCCTTCATTTGGGAAAAGGATTTTTGTAGGGGGGCTATTTGCATATTCTAATTGTCAAAAAAATGATAGAGAGTGCACATTTTCGTGATTTCACTAGACATTTATAGATATGGAAAGTTTTCCGTTTTCCGTTCAGCCCGTTGCTTTTCTTTGAATTTTCTATTTATTCAACTAATTTATTTATTTTCACTCAAAAACTAGACGATGGCAAATAAAGTTGCTCCTTGAAAAAGGAGTTTGCACTCCTTGAAGAACCACTTGGCACTTTTCCTTCACTTTTCCTACACTTTTCCTTCAGTTTTCCCTCATTTTTCCCTCACTTTTCCTTCAGTTTTCCCTCTAATGAAATTTAATAAACAGTCGGCAGTCGGAAGGAAGTCGGAAGGAGCAAAGGAAGGAAGGAAAGGAAATCAAGGGTCTGGCAGCAGCAGCAGGTGAATGGCTGGCTGATAAGTGGGGTGTTTGTTGGAAAAACAAGTGTCCTTACTGGCATAACTAATGGGTTCTGATGTGACGCTATTCGTAGAGTCTTATTTACTTATTTTCCAAGAGGATTTCCCACAAGTATACGAATTTCCCAAATAAATCAAAGCAATTTACCCATAAAATAGCATTTGTCTTTAATATTAACATCAGAGAGGAAAGGAAATTCGTCTTAAAAAAACCCAAAAAGAAATTTCCTCTCTAACCTAAAGACATAAATTGTGCACTTTTATATATTCCATTAAAAAAAAAAGAAAAGAAAAGGGCACAGAAGAGAGCAGTTCCCTGCGAAAGATAACGCTGCTTTTATCCCACTTATCTGTCTATTTCCCACGCTCGCTCGTTGTCTCCTGCTAAAGCGATCTCTGTCTCACACACACACACTTGAAGGCACAAAAGCACCCGCACACAGCGAGATAGAGTGAGAAAGCAACGGTAGCGAGAAAAAAAAACAAGTAAATAAACTTTAGGCAAAAGTTTTTGGCAACTTTTCCCGGCAGTCAGTGGCGCATTTTAAGTTACGGCAATCGACAGGGGGTTCCGGGCAAAAAAAAAAAACACAAAGTGCGGGTGGCAGCAGGCAGCACAAGAAGTAGAGTGGAGTGCGCCCCGCCAGTACAGTGGGAATACAAGTTGTTGGCGAAAAACTGGCGCTTAAAACCGCAAATTTTACAGCTCTAGCCCCAAAGGGCAGACAGAGAGAGGGAGAGGAGAGACTCTCTCTGGAGAGTGAGCTCTTAAAGTTATAGATGGTAACGTAACTCTTACCTATTTTCTGCGCTATGATAATCCTTTATGGTGGGACTGCCACTGCTTGCTGCCACATGCGATTGTTGTTTGTCTCCACGCACAAGTTGGCAGGCCAACTTGCTGGCTGACCACGTGACCATCAAAAGCAAACACACACCACACACACAACAACCAACCAAACACACACACACAAACACGAACGCGTCACACTGTTGTTGTTGTTGTTGTTGTTTGCTGTTGTTGGTTTTGCCACTGCTTTAATGTATGCCAAAAAACGAGAGCAGAGCAATTAAAGCCCGCTTAAAGGAGCGTGAGTGAGAGAGAGAGTGAGTGAGTGAGAGTACGAGGGAGTGCGAGTAAGTGTAAGTGCTGCTCTCACTTTACTTGAGAATTTTGTTCTTGCGGTAAAATAAAAACACGCAAACAGCATTTGCCTTCTTCGTTCAACGCCTTCCTGCCTGACTGCCTGACTGCTTTTGCTTTTGTTTTTTTTTTTTGTTTGGCTGTAGTCACGCGTTAATTTGTACAGTTCGAGATATTCTAATACAATAATACACTCAATAAGTTATGTTTAGATTGCGTTTAGCGCACCCGAACACACGACTGCCAGGACGACCCAAAATGTTAGCGAAACAACGACAGGACAACGTGCTGCTGCCGGAGCCTGTGTGCACGCAAAGAACAGAACAGAACGGAACCGAACGAAACGAACGACGACAAGATTCACGCGCGATTCACGTTAGCTGGCGGCCCTGCGAGGCGACAGCATTTTTGCATACGTACTAAACACTGCGACGACTAAGCTTCAACTAAAACGACGAGGCAGCGGCAGGCCGAAGTGGAGCCACACGAGCCAGCCCCAACACGGCAAACACCCACGCACGAAGTAGGCGCGCGCGCTTACACGAAGCTCCAAACGAAATGTAAGAAGTGCAAGGCAAGGCCGAATGGACTGCTTTTGACTGGCGAAGCAACTGCGTGCTGAATAAAGAGTGGCAGAGCAGTAAAGCAAGCAGTCCTTTGCTCTCTCTTTCTCTCTCTCTTCAATTGAAGCTGTCGGAGGAAATAAAGAGATAACGTTTGTTTAATTGTTTGCTGATCGTTGGCAATGTGAAGTTGAATGGAATGGAAGAGAAAATGTGCAGCAAAGTCACTCTTTATAAATTTCTATAATGCAGTTGCTGCTCAAGAGAGCTTTAGATGTGGGGTAGCAGACATTGTGTAAGGTCACGATCAAAGCAAGCAACAGGTAAAAAAAAGAGAGTACATTTGTAATCAATTGTAATTGTAATTTTTTTTTGAATTTGCGATAGGGTATTCGCCTTCTTTTTATTAATAATATTTATTAATAATATATTAATAATATACATATGTATGTACATATGTATGTACCTACTATAAATACACTTTGCCACTGTTGATCTTACTTAACTCTTATTTTCATTTTTTGCCGATTGCGGATTGCGGACTTTGTCAGTGAAAGAGTGCCACAAGCAAACAGTAAATGTAGCTAAAAGGACGAAGCAGCTGAATAAAAAACATTAAGAGTAGTATAGACACAATCAAAGAGAGACGCAGCTGTATAAGAGTACGTGGGACGCGTACGTACCTACGCGTACGTAGGTATAAATTTCGTGTCTTGGCTAAGTGGAGACGCGAACCACAATGTAAAATGTCATGTAGCATAAATGTATTTTGTAATTTTTTGGCAACGGTTTATTCCGCCCAAATTTCAGAGAGGCCTCTGGGGCAGCAATATCTGGGGCGAGATTTCTATTTCTTTACCTTGTTCTAAATCTTTTAATGGCTTAGAAACAAACATCCGTGGTGTGGTTGATGCTGCATCAATGGATTCTCAGCTAATTAATATTCAAATCTAAATCTAAGGATCTTGCTCCTCCTACCTAGTGCATTCTTTCCCCCCCTTCAGCTGTGACACTTTCCCCTCTTACCCACACTGCAATTGCCACTGCAATCACTCAAAGTAAAAATTGTCATCAGCTTCCCCTCAAACTCTAACAAGACGCTAAAAAATGACAAAAATGGGTGGAAGAAGGGAAAGAAGAGAGATGAATAGGAGGGTAGAGAGCAATAGTGTGGAAGAGAGCAATAGCGGGGTGGGGGATGAGACCAGAGGGGAGTAAATGACAAAATGAAACCCGAAAACGAATTGCAACAAAATGCTCAAACACACTCAACAAAATTGACTTAAATAAATAAATGGTATAAAAACAAAGACAAAAACACATGAACAACGTGAGAGAGGGCTGATGAGGGGGGGATAGTGGAAAAGGGATAGACATCGGGAGTGAGACTCAAAGAACGCACCGGGAAAAGCGCTGAAGGCAAGTGGAACAGTGGAGCACACAGAGTTTCATAGAAACAAAGTGCATTGCATTCCTTTGCAAGCAGAAAAGAGACGAATAATCAGATGGAGAGAGTGAGAGAGAGACGCTGAGACACCGTTAGAAGTGGAACTTTGCTGTGTAACCAGGAGGCGGAAGTGGGAAGAGTGGGAGTGGGGAAGAGTGGGAGTGGGAAAGAGTGGGAGTGGGGAAGCGGTAAACTTTGTTGTTCAGCTTGTTGCAACATTTTCATTCCATTTTATGCAGTCAATGCAATGCAATGCAACATTCGAATCCAACAACTGCAACAAACAGAAGCAACGACTGCAACAACAACAACAACAGGAACAACAACAGGAACAGACAGTGACAACATTTAGTAGCTCATCCATTTTCATTTGTATTAAGCAAAAGGCAAAAGTGCTTGTCCTCAGAGAGACAGACAGACAGAGAGAGAGAGAGAGAGCGAAGGAGAGCGCTGCAAGGGAATTAGGAATAGATGCGTGAGAGGCACGAAATAATACTAGCAGCGTATGGCTGATACTTCCGAAATACTACTCAAAATCCAACAAAAGGTGGAACAAATTTTTACCGTACCCAGTGCAGGGATTAAATTCCATACAACTAATATTCATTAATTAATTAATTAATATAATTAATCTGCACAGGGCATGGTAAAAATTCATTCTACTTTTTGTTGGATTAATACAATAAATTAATTAAATATATATATTAGGTTAAGATTTGCATACTTGTCGTCATACTCTAATAGGGAAGATTCGATAAATAAAATAACGTAATAGTAAAAACAAAAACAAAACTAATATTCTAAGATTTTGTCTATGCAGAATTTAACTGGAAATCTCACTCTGAAAAACCCCCATAAAATCGAGAACTCAATATTAACCATGTAAAATGCAAATAACAGATTTGAGTACAATAGGTGTAATAGCTCTAGAACAAGCACTACAAATCGATTCGGTTAATGGTTTAATTTTAAATAAAAACTAAAAGATAAAACTGTTTAAGTATCTTATACCTGGAAATTAAATCAATGACATGATATATTTTGTAGTTCTAAATTAAATAAAATATTTTGTGTAAGTACAGTTTCTTGCATATATCCGATATTTCCGATACACGCACGAAATAAAACGTCCATCTCCAATGGAAATGCAACGGTACTGTTGTGCACCACCCCACTGCCACACCACCCGCTCGCCATAAGATAAAAGCGATGGCATTACTCAGCAAATACTTTTGTTGTTTGTTTGACAAAAAAGTCTATGCCACCCGCTCTACCTCCACACACAACACTCCCCTTACCCCGTACCCCCTACACCCACACTCCCTGGAGACGCTCGTTAGCGCAGCTGCCAGGAGAATTTATCTTATTTCTCCGAAATGCAACTCGATTTTATTTTATTTGTCGCTTTATTCATTCGTTCATTCATTCATCCATTCGTTGTTTCGCTCTTTCGTTTGTTCGTTCGTTCGCTCTCTCATTGTTTCTGTTTGGCATATTGGACATATTGTTAGCCCCCAATGTGATCGATGCAAATTGATGCGTATTGTTAATGGAACTTCTGTTCGGTTCTGCTCTGTGCGTAATAATGGAGCAGCAATGGAACGGATTTCAGTGGAAACTATTTCGATGGGAAAAGAGCTGAGCAGAGCAGTTAGGGAAGATTATTTAATGGGATCAAAGTGCCTAAAAGTGTATGTTATGATGATGGATTGTTGGGAAATTTAAAGAACGAAAAAAATAAAATTAAAAACAAATACTGAGAATATTATAATTTATATATTATTTAAATGGATTGTTGGGGAATTTTAAAGAACGAAAAAATAATAAGAAATACTGACGTATACAATAAATAATTTATAGATTATTTAAATTGAATGAAAAAGTAGTAGCACATAAATAAAATACATATATTAATGCTATCAAAACTTATTATAACCAGGAGACCCTCTTACCTTATATTCTACTTATATATATTATTATTATTATAATTAATATATTATAATTATTATTATTATAATTATTATTATTATAATTATTATTATTATTAATAATATTATTATTATAATTATTATTATTATGATTATTACTATTTATTGGCAAAGCTAAGGTTATCCTTACCCCACACTCTAATACCAACTTCTTCTCACTTAAGTCTGTCCAATAAATCAATTATCTCAGCTCATCCCCCCCATCTCTCTAGTACTCCTAAAATCTCTTCACTCTGTGAGGCAAAGAGAGACAGCGACAGAAGACAGTGTGCTGGAAGCAGGACACAGCTAGACAAAGCATTGCAAACGAGTGCAAATAAATAAAAACAAATAAAACTGTACTTCATATGCAAGGCGAGCATAAATAGACAGTTATATTGCCCAGGCCACACAGTGCAGAGAGAACGCAGCAGAGAGAGAGAGAGTGAGTGAGCGAGAGAGAGATGTCCCGTGTCGCTATCGCACGCTTTTTGGTTTAGAGTTCAAGAAATCAAGATTTATGACATTTTTATTACAAAAACGAGCGTCCTGTTAGTTGTGGGTGTACGTACTCTTACTACTTATACCCTCTCTTGCCGTACCCCCCTGCTGTTGGCTGTTGACTTCAAAAATATGCAGCCAGGCGCGTCATGCCATTATTTGGGCTTCGTCCCAGAGTCCTGGGTGCTGGGGGTTCTGGGTCCTGGGCCTGGAAATGCCGCCGCATGCAACGGAAGGCGCATAATTCACAAAAACAGCAGGCCATGCGATACTGCAACACCCAGGAGGCGGGTAGGGGCTGTGCGGGTGCTGTGTATTGTAGAGCCAAATGCAATGGGAATCTGTGCACAGGATAGGCACTTCCTCACCACCCTGCCTCATCCCTTTTGGATGCTTTTTGACTCTCTGACTCTCTCTCCCTCCCTGCCTCTCTCTCTCTCTCTCTCTCCTTTCTCTCTCAATTTTAATATAAACAAATTGCAAACGTTCTTATTTATGACATTTTTTTTTGGTTGTTGTTGTTGGTCTTCGCTTCTTCGGCTTCTTGTGTTTCTTCCAAGGGGGGTCAGTCTCATCTCACTCTCTCTTTTTTTTTTGTGTAAGGGCTTATGGGTGGGGGTGAGGCTTCCGCCAGGTGTTATAAGTGTGGGTTTGGGGCTGCATTTTGCCATAATATATGTAGTCCATTGTTTGCCATAAATCTGACTAAATCAGAAGGCAAACAAAACATATATACCCACACATTGGAAAATATTCAGCAAGAAATTGCAATGTAAATCTAAAGAGAGAGAGCGGCGGATTTTTGCATACTTATTTTAGATTAAATGTCAAAATTTTTTTTAAGCTGCGAAAATAAATACTAATAACTATATATAAAATATATATGTAGATACATATCAATCATACATAATAATTATTATTATAATTATTATGAATATAAATATTATTATTATAATTATTATTATTATTATAACTATTAATAAAATAATCTTAAGCTACCAATTTCTGCTTAGAATCCGCAATATAATATATATTTATAAATTCTAGATCTTTATGTTACCTTTCCATTGCCTAATACCTAAAATATGTATGTGTTACCATTCCGGAAAAACCACATAATATAGGCTACGCATCTTAAGGCAGCAATCAAGTACTGGGAACTTGAAAATGCATTTACCGAAAAGCCATAGGAACTAATACTTAAAATTAAATTAAATCATATAAAAATAAAACCAACAAATTTCCTCGTTTTCATTATCGTCATTTGTTTCGAATATCATTTTTTTTTTTGTTTAACATGGTCAGAGCTTAAAAATTAAACTTAAATCAGAGTTTACATATTTTATTCGCAATCGACTTAAACGTTATAGACACTGGCATGGAATTCATATTCATTCGAGAACATAATAATAATAAATTATTCATTAAACTTAATATAGCAAATATCTGTGTGTGCTTTTTTTTATTATAACTCACGGTTCTGTGTTCCTCGTGTATGTAGTATGCATGTGGTGCATCTGTGTGTGTGCGTGTGTGTGGGCGTGGCAGGTCTCTGTCTTATCACAAATGAACATCACTAAAAACGTGCTTATCCTTGAAATTTTTGTAGCCGCCGCGAGCTTCCTCTTACATTTAAAATAATTTAATTAAAGTTAGATTTTAAATATAGCGAATTTGTTTTTATCTTTTTTAGGTTTAAAATTATGTGATCTTGTCAATTAATTGATTTTGTTTTTTGTTTTTGTTTTTTAAATTAAGAAATTATCACAAATTGTTTTGTAGCATTTTTTGTCATCAAGTGTTTTAGTTTTAGCTTGTTTGTTGTTGTTTTTATCGAACTATAGTTAAGAATTGTTTAAGCCCTATAAAAATTAATGGTTTGTCCAATGGCATCACCAGTGATCCATGTCACGTATACGCTCCACGGGCGGATTACTGCAAAAAGGGAAAGGGGCAGCAAATATTTAATTAGAGTTTAAACTTTAGTTTGGGCTTAGACTTACGGCAACATTCGGGCCAGTGCATGCTTATGCAGCGGTGATATTTGCACTGCTGCCGATCCCATGCTCGATCCCGAGTCCTGGGACATGGTGCGTTGCATATGATGCATAGGATGTTGCACCACAGGGCCGCCCACAAACTGCAGCTGCTGCTGATGGTGATGCTGATGCGGATGGTGCGACTGATGGGGATGGGGATGCTGCTGCTGCAGCGGATGCTGGTGCTGCTGCTGCTGCTGGTGTGGCGGCGGCATCTGCTGCGATCGCCTGAAGGGATAGCGCCACGGACTCTTGGGCACATCCGACTGGAAACCCTTGTTCTCAACGCCGCCTGCGGCACCGCCAGCGCCAGCGCCAGCGCCACCAGCGCTGTTGGAGACGCCCGCGGGACTGTCACGTCGCGGTGCCGTGCCGTGCTGCATGTCACGCGCCTTGGAGCTTAGGCGTCGCAGTATGCGCGAGCCCAGACCGGGGGGATCCTCCAGGCTGCGACTGTTGCGTGGCTTGCGGTAACGCACATCGCTGGACTCCTCCAGGATCACATGGCGGTCGTAGGGCGTGCCATAGTACACCTCCAGCACCGTGGAGAAGGTATGCGGCCACACCAGATCAATGATGGAGATCAGCACACCCGCTATAAAGCACAGAATACCTGCAAAAGAACAACCAAAAATGAGTCTCTCAATGCGGGTAAATTCATGTATCCATGGCACTCACCTGCCACCAGGACCAGCCAGTAGCACCAGCCAAAGTGAAACTCCAGTCGTCCGCCCTCCAAATAAATGCACAACGGCCGCTTGGGCAACAGGCAATGATATCCGAGGGTGGTGCAGACGAGCAGTGCGCCCGTGAGCGCCTTCATGTATGCCCCATACCGGGGCACGGCAATCAGCAGGAGGTTCATCAGCAGCCACGAGGCCAGCGATGACCACAGCATTATGCTGGCAAAATAACCCGCCGCCCTGTACTGTCCGCCCCAGGAGAAGCCCTCGCGGCCAAGGCTAAAGTACTCGGCCACCGTCAGAATGGGAAAGGGCAGTCCGCGCTGCAGGGCATGTCGATAGTTGGCGCTCATATCGGTGGCTCCCTCCCACATGAAGCGCTCGTTGTAGTCGATATCCGGTGGCGTATAGTTACCCACGGGTATGGCTGTCGAAAGGCAATACAAACAAAAAATATATGAACACTCATTAAAAGCGACTTTTAATCATCTGAAAGGCAACACTGCAGCTGTAGCACCCTTGAAAGCCGCTTGACAATCACAAAATGTGCCTCAAATCAAGTCAGAACTTTTCATAGAAACCCCTGCCATACCCTCACACCTTCAAAATGCACTCGAAAATGAGTGAGTGGAACCTTCAGTGTAATTACAGACAAATGCAACACGGCACAACTGCAACCAAATGATTATTTCCTGTTGCAAGCGGAAGTGTTTTGGCTGATGCCACAAGGCGTATGCGTAATGCCACACATTCATTGTCAATGGCTTTAAAGCTCCAAAAATACCTCAACTGAACGACTCAATGGCTCAACGGCTTAAAAGTGCAACAACAACAACAATATTCGCATAATCAATGTGCAACAAAAATAAAATTATTTTGTATTTTTCTTTTTTTTTCTATTTGCTGTTTGCATACTTTGTTTAACATTCGCCAACAATTTTTCCGGTTTACGTACAGCGCACGCGCTTTTGGCCCGTTTTGCATTCAGTTTTGTTGTTTTTTTTATGCGAGCGCGTTGCTCAACAAGTTTTTGAATGTGAGTGAAAGAGAGAGAGGGAGAAACACTGCTAAATAAATGAATAAAAAATATTTGCATAATTTATAGACAACTTTGCGCACCTCTCGAGCGGCCAAACAACTTCAAAGCCCCAAAGTGATTCCGCATTCGGTTCAACAAAAATAAATATGTTTGTACAAGGGAGAAGCATTTGATACCCTTGCAGATTATAGTCGAACGATTTGGATGCATTATTATGCAATTGGGCTATGAATAAATAGGAACATGAAACTACAGTCTGTTGAATTTTTGTTGGTTTAACTGAAGAAAAAAAAATGTTTTTGTCTTAGAAAGAGGTTTTAAACGATAGTTCCACTGGCAGCTAAGCCACACTGGGAGAGAAACTGTATGAGAGAATGTGAGATAGAGCTTGAGGGGGATATAAGCACGACTATCCAATTTTTTTCTGCATTTTGGTAATAAAAACGATGACTGCTAAGCCACACTGGCAGAGAAACTGTAGGAGCAAGAGAAATGAAGCGCTATGCAGGAGATGAGCTTTTTACATCATGCTGACTACAATAATCTACGAGTCCGCAGATTCCCGGATATCTCTGCATTGCAAACCACACACAAAAATCATTATAATCGTACGCCCTTCTTGAAAGAGTATCTACATCATAAAAATCATATCATACAAAAGACTTGCCTTACTCTCAAGCTCAAGATATAGAACTATAGATGACGCATTGTATATCCCCATTAAAGTATAAATCTAACTAATGGATACTTTTGGGCATTTATTTTTGTGAATGGAAGAGAAACCCAATGTCCAAAATATACTTTGGTAATGCTAATTTTAGAATCAAACCCACTCTCTGCCACAGAATTATTTGTGTTTAATTTTTAAAAGCATTTTAAGCATTTATGCATAAATCATTAATCTTTTATTTCGCAGTTAAAAGGGGGGGGTCTTCATCGGCAGAAAGACTTCAAATGATATATGATTTCTCGGCTTGTGCGGCTGCTGCTCACGTTTGCCACAGTGTCTGACAGCAACAGAGAGTGACAATATATGCATAAAGAAATAAGAAACAAATAAACCCCCTAGCTAAAAGCTGAACAACGAGTGGCACGAGAGGTATTCATAATTAAAAGACAGAGGAATTAATTTTCGAAAGTCAATAAAAGAATGATGGAAAAAAAACCCCAGAGGAAGAATTATAATGGGAATCGTTTTGGAATATCAATTAATTGGAAAATCAAATAGGGAATCAAATCAAGCATTAAAGATAAAAGGTGGACTGAGAATATACAAAATTAGCTATTGAAGGAACGGGTATTTAGAATCGATCATTCAAGAAAAATACACAGAATTAACTATTACCCTTCACAGTAGTAATGAAATTAGAGCTAATCTTTTCGAATCATTTGGCGTGTTTCTACTTTCTGGGAAACATTTTTACTGATATTCCCTGATAGCATTTATTTTTTAGATATCTGTTCCACTGTCCCCCCATTGCTACAAGAGTTTCCAGTTCCGTGTTCCCATGCCGTTTATGGCTAATAATAAATACCATAATATCATAATTATAATTCCAATAAAATACCATTTTTGTGTCACCCTTTCCACCATACTATAACCTCTTAGAGGTCTATAAAACGATGACTTATATGGGAAATTCCCACGCCGCAGAGCTACCTCAAATGCCAAATACCTCTGCACCTCCTCCAAGCCAACGCCGAATGACTCATGTAACTGAAACGTAAGCCGTAAGCCGGCAAAGCGCTACAAATGTATGCCCAAATATCGAAAAACGCCCACCAATCCGACGAACGCCACGAAACGAGCTTACAAATTACAAACTCAACGCCAAGAAAATATTGTAAAAAAAAAAAAAAACAACAACGAAACAGACATTGTATAAAAAAAAGAGATTACATAAATCCTCAAAAAGTTGTCATATAATTTATGCTATGGGGCTTGGCCTTCGACTTGGGGCAAGGTTCTCTCCATCGTATGTCTGTCTGGCCTACGATTTTTTTGTTTGATTTTTCCACTCGATCACGAAAATGGCAAAAAAAAAACATACAAAAAAAAAACTAAAATAGAACGCAAAACAAAGTCAAGTATACGCACTGTCTACGCATTTTGTAGATCGATTGTAAAGTCATTAAACTGACAATCGTTATGATTTCCCAGTTGGTGGCACACCACAGAGACAGAGACTCGTTTTCGGATGTGGAAATTGTGTGTCGGTTCGCTGCTTGCAACGACGCGTTGCAACCGGTTCAATTTGGTAATTGTGTGGAGCGGATCGGAGCTCTACTTGATTCAAATGTGGATGTGGTTTATGGCCGAATCGATTAAGATCTGACATTCAGTCGGAAATTAAAAAGGGGAAGTAAAAGTAGGAGATACCCATTAAAACAAAAAATAAAGATTAATCGTTAAATGATAGATTTTAGGTAGGAGTTAAGGAAAATAGTTTAGGAAATGGTGCGTAAATTAAAAGGTCAGGGGATTAATGTGTGGGGTGAACTTTACAGAAATGGAAAGAAATTTCGAATTATAATGGATATTAGAATGTGCGGACACGAGTCCAGGGAAAAGAGAGACTTTGGGCAGAGGTATTTTCTCTTAAGAGTTGGGCAATAAAAATCATAATATTAAAAAAAATAAATAAAAAAATATTCCAAAATACTAAAGATTTAATTAAATTTAATTAAAAATTAAAATTTTATTTAAATTAATTTAATAGAAAATATTTTTGGATTTTAGATTTCTTATTTAAAAAATCTAATATTTTATCTTTTTCCTACTCCTCTCTGTCTATAGTTCTTCCCGTTCTACAAATATTTTGTAAAATATATACAGTCAAAACTTCAAACCATTAACCAATCGATTCATTAATAACTTTACAAGAAGGGTTCCGCTTTCGGCATCCATACGCCGCCCATAAACCCACTTCCGCAAACTTCCGCCAAATGTATCTTCTTTTTTTTTGCTTTATTAAATGTAAGAACCCCACAACACACAAATTACCATATACCCATACGAAATTAATGTTTTCCTACTTGATACTTGAGGCGGATGACGACGACGACGAAGACGACGATGGATGTGGCTATGGATGAGGCTGTGTGTGTTGATGGTAGCTCGCGCTTAAGTACAGCCAACAACAATAGCAGCAGCAGCAGCAGCAACAACAAAGACAAATAAATTTAAACATTTTTATGCCTTTTCATAATTTTAAGTGATGATTATGCTGATTTTGTGTGTTTACTTTGGGGTTGGAGGGAGAGAGGGAAGAGAAGATGAGTGGTGATGCAGAGAGAGAGAGAGAGAGAGAGGGAAGAGGTGTGGAGATACACAGAGAGAAGAGTGGAGAGTGGAGATGTGAATGGACGGGTTAAAAAACAATTTGGCAGCAGCAACAAAAAAAAAAGGAAAAAAAAAACTTAAATTAATCATGACTTTACAATAGACAAAGAGGCACACGACACACGACACAATACTCGGACACAAAGAGCAACAGAGAGACAATGGCAACCAATGCTGCTTCCAAATTATACGCCTCATCAGAGCAGGTACCTCCCCCTCCCCATGTGACCCTTCTGCCACATGTCTGTCTGCCTCTGTGTGTGTTTTAGAAATAAATGTAAGTACGTTCCATTTCTGTCATGCATTTTTTGGTCATCAGTCGAGTGAGCGCGCCGCCAGATGTCCATCTCCATTAGGAAATGAAACGTGAAAAGACAAGTACTTATAAAAAAAAAAATTGCAAATAGAATGGAATTATTTTATAAATAGAAAACTTTGCTTGCACATGTGGGCAGGTGGGCAAGTGGGCAAGAGGACAAGTTTGCAATTGGGCAATTGGGATGGTGTCCAAAGTTGGGCAGAAATGTGGACAGCCACAGAATTTGCAAGTGACACAAAAGGGTCAATAGCCCTTTTGTAGAAAAATCAATGGAGGCTATAAAGCCTATAATACAAAAATGCACACGGTCTTCGGAGTTAATGGAAAAGTTAATTTATTAAAAAAAGGCTAAAATCAAAGACTTTAAGTGAGTTAAAACCAATGAAAATATGGCAGTACGGCTTTAAATTTAAATTTAAAATAGATTTAAGCATTTATATTTTTAAGTGAACGATCCAAAAATTTGTTTACTAATTATAAATCGTAGAAAATAAGCTAAAATAGAAGACTTTAAGTGAGTTCAAAACAATCAAAATATGGCAGTAAGAAAATTAAATTTAAATTAAAAATAGATTTAAGAAGTTACATATTCTATATGTATATATATGTATATATATATATATTATATCTTGTATATTTTTTTATTTTAATATTTTTATTTTTCTAATTATAAATCGTAGAAAATCTAGAATTTCTGGACTTAAAAAGTTGTAATTTTAGTTGTAAAAGTCTCAAAGTCAAAGTATTCTGACAATAATTCATGTAGCTTCAGGTATACAATTCCTAATTGTGGATTTTTCCCATAAGAACCCAGAATTTTGGCAGAATTACTCAAAGTACTCTATAATGATCTCTAATAATGGGTTTTTTTATTCTTAACTTCTCAAAAATATACGAACCTCTATCAGCTCTATCCAGCTCTATCTAACCATAGCTACATATATCTCAATGAGTTCCATTCGGTTGAGTGAGTCAGCTACTTAGAAGGGAAGGCAACTAAAGGCTGAAAGCTGATGAACCATCAACAATTGCCACCTGGCAACAGCTGCAAGTTCCTTGCACTTCAAATGGAACTACAAAAAAAAAGGCAGCCAACAAACAGCCACCAGCCAAACGAAGTGTCTAAATGCCGCAGTTAATCGAGCATACGAAAAAAACACACCCACAAGAGACCTTAAAGAGGGAGAGACAACAATAAATGCCACCAGACCGCAACTCGAAAACTGCAACCCAAATTGGAAGTGCAACAAAAGTCTCATAAATGATAAATCATTAAGACCGCAGCAGATTGGCCCAAAAAAATCCAAACAACAAGAAGGCTTTTTATTCAAACGGTAATCATCATTATAAAATGATCATCATGCACAGATTTTGAACACCTCAAAATGTATTTGACATTTGCTTGACTTTGATTTGGCAATGGAAAATGCTTCAATTACAATTGAAAATCATACGAAAAAAAAAGAAATAAATATATATTCGACTTGGTAACGAGTGCAACAATTAAGTTGTCAGTGGAGCCATAGAGAGGCCTCTAAGACACACTCCAACGATTGACATGCGCAATTATCATATTCAAAATCAAACAGGAAAAAAAAATACATTAAAAAAAATGTATCTAAAACTAGAAACATTTTGTGGAGCAGACAGCCAGCAGCAGCTGTCAACTTGAGGCAACGTTTGCCCTTTTACTAAAAACAGAAACCCACAACGCCCACTCTCGCATCCAACCATCCATTCAACCATCCAACGGGCAACAAAAATAATAGAAATAACAATAGAGTGAACGGAGAATGGAGAAACACGTGAAACACTTTTTGGCAAACTTCATTCCGGTTGGTGTTCCGGTTGGGGTTTCGATGGGGCGTAAAATTCTACCGCCCTACAGGGGAGGTGTGTGTGTGTGTGTGGTTTCTGGAGGGAAAAGATAAAAGATACTCCACAAAATCTGTATTAGTGTAAAACCAATATGAAAACCGACATAATGCCCCCTCAACAGTCAGAGAGTCGGTGTTTGAAGAGGGGGGTAAATATCGACACATCTTTTTGCTTTTGTGCACAATCTATCTGTGGGTACTGTTGGTGTGTGTTTAGTGTCTACTCCAATTTTTAGTCAGTTGAAGTGTACATCTTTCTTTATTCTACTTTATTTTACTCGTCAGTATAGTGTCCATAAATAAATATAAACAAAGCCATGAAGCCATCAAAATGATAAATAAAAATAGGAATACAAATTTGACTTTCAGAATGCATTTTGACATAGATATAATAAGAATATGGCCGAAATCCCTACAAATATTTGCAGGAAAAACCTGTTGAAAATCAGTTCCAAAATTCCCATGCAAAACAATCGGAAAAACCCACAAAATGTTCAGCAAAAATCATTCCCTGTCTTCCAATCCCCACCAAAAGCCAATATCCAAGTTTCTCAATGCCCATTTAATTCCGAATCAGATTTCAGATTTCTATAAAGAAAATGCCCGACTGCCTGCCCTCTAAAAGGGCATTCTACTATAATATTTAATCTCCATATTTTGCAAACAAAAAATGATTGTTATGGGGCCACACACAACACACAACAGACAACTGCTGCTGCTGGCCCCACCGCCACTCGAAACATTTGCTCACATTTTGTGGAGTGGGAATAGATGAAGGGGTGGGGGGGCAGGGACCAGGAGTATGTATGGATTATTCGTGCTTGAGTTGACTTCAAACTGGCATTCCAATTGATTCAGCTGAGGTCTAAGGTAACATACAAAAGCATTTCACCTTTTCGATGAGCAAAGTGAGTGAAATCTGAACAAACAAAACAGATATACATATATACAGATACAGATATATAGGGGGTATATACATATATGTATACATCATAGAGGCCCGTATGGCAAAGCGTTTTTGCTATTTGGAATCGAATATTTCCGCAGGTGTCGAGCAGAGCGCGAGTCGAGTGGCATTTCAATTTGTTGCTGTTGCTGTTTGCTATTGTTGCTGCCCCAGCTGCCATTGCCTGCCCCTCTATCTACTGCCTCCATTGTTGCCAAGAATCGTGACATGCAACTTGACTTGGCACTTGGCAGGAGCCAACAACAAACAAAGTATCAGCAGCGTCGGCAGCAGCAACCGCAGCAGCAACTGACGTCACCGCCCACCCATCACCCTCGCGTTTGAGCCACCAAAAAATTCAGATGAATATAAATATCAGCCACAAAATTTTAGGAAATCAATTAGCCAGAAGCCTAACCTCAAGTCAAACCCCAAGTCAAGCCCCAAACGGCAGCAGCAGCAACTGCTACCCCTGAAGAAAATTAAAGCGTTTTAATTAAAATTTATCTACACAAAATGTATCTATATTGTTTTTAAGAAGAGTATACTGATTTTCTTAAGTTTTTAGTGATTATTATTATTTTAAATGAATTTCAAACGAATAAATTCCCTGGAAGAAAAAAACATCATATAGTACTACAGCTCAATGTTTGCTATTATATATTTATACAGAGCTAAACTTCTTGGTAAATCAAAATTAAATAGTTAAATGCTCTCTTGAAGGATATCCGCGTTTCGACTCTACGTATGCACAATTTTTCTTGCATTATTTTTGAGATGTTCGATAAAAATCTTGCATGAAAATTGCTCAATTGTTTTCGAACTTCGTTTTCGTTGGCTGTTGACGTTCGTTTTTTATCTGCTCATTGGGGGATCGACTCGAAAAGATGGGGGCGTGCAGATTGTGAGAGTTGGGAGGCACGACACAGCGCCCCAAGACGAGGGAATTATTTTGCTTAATGAATTGAAAATGAAAACTCTTTTCGGTCATACAACCGAATACCCCTTGAATACAAATGCCATTCAATCAACGATTCATTGGAGTAGGGGGCGTTTGAGTACAAGCATTATTCACATTCATTAATGAAAACGAAATAAACGGTCAACAGTTTTTATGCTTTTCAAGGGGCACTAATTTCTGGGAAAGACTTTTTTTTATATAATCAAAACGGGGAATTTCTTTTCGTTGCTTTTGGCGGTAGTAATTATTAATTTAATGATGTTTATGATTAATTTTTTGAGTTGTATTTTAGGCAATCTCAGTAGATATTTTAATCATATTTAATTGGACAGCAAGTCGAATAATTTCCATCAAATATAAAGAAAAGCTTTCCAATGCATATACATTTAAAAATTCCTATCATAAACCTCTGATTTAATGATCAAGGATACTCGCACCTTCACTTCGTGCCTCTTCCAATAACCACACACCATTAAAACTATCTCAAAGTTTACACTACAATTTCAAGCCCAATCGTTAAACGTTACCACTAAGTAAATTTAACCATAAAAAAAAAATCGAACTGAAACTCAAATACAAATAAATACAAACACAAATAGAAGCGAAGCGAAACTCTGGCAATCGTTGGGGGCCCTGCACAAGAAATAATCAAATATGACAACCCATTCACCCATTCACCCGTCGAATACGACACGAGTACTTGGGAAGACCCCTGATTGAAAGATTGGCAAACTTACCCGTCAGCGTTACATTGACATGCATGAGGCCAATGTGGGTGCCGATCCGAGCTGGTAGCTTCTCGCGTGAGAAGGCTTTGTACGGTGCAATGATGGTTGCATGTGCCACATGCCACGCGGATCCCAAACGAGTGACTGTCGGTTGTTGTTGTTGTTGTGTTGTGTTGTTGTGGTGCGATAAAGATGTGTGAAAAGATTGAGCATATGCAAATCAGGTATTATATTCATACTTCATATTAAATGAAGGTCACACATCTGGTACTCACCCAGTATGACTAGACCCACAAAGAGCGACAGTGTGACTGTCGAGAATGTTGTGAATTTCTGCAAGAATAAACAAAAAATAATTATACAATAAATAACAAGAATATACAGAAAATACTAGTATTCAACTTTAATCCAAAGCCAATTAATGTCACACAGCTCGTTCCACTTGGAAACATTCAACGAATATGGCGAACATAACGGCATTCCCTTTACAAATTTCACATAAGCGAAAGGATGCACTACTTTTGCATTTTATATAGTAGTAGACTTTTAATAGCAAATATTTTAATATTACAGTTTTTTCACTGATATAATTTTTAAATTTAATACATTTTTAAATTGGAATTTTAAAATGTATTTAATTTTAATTTTTAATTGAATTTAAATCGAAAACATTTCAAAGAATAGATACACAGTGATTTTTTTGTAGCTGTTTTTTATTAATTAAAAACCAATGTTGCGTAGAACTTTAGTGATATAATTTTTAAATTTAATATATTTTTTAATTTAAACTTTAAAATTTATTATTTCATTTTAATTTTTAATTTCTGTTTTTAATTGAATTTAAATCGAAAATATTTCAAACAATAGATGTAAAATGATTTTTTGGTAGCTGTTTTTTTTTTCATTCAAGTGTAAATTTTGGAAAATCCCAGTGTAAACACCAATGTTCTCGACTGTGAATGTACCGCTAATGGAACAGTGCTATTAGTATTGCCAAACTTTAATTAAGCCAACAATTGATCTCCGATTGTGACCCCAAAAGACAAGAAAAGGGCGCGCCATCCCGTTAACGGGTTTACCCAGAGTATTTGTATTTATACATACAATACCCCGTATATATTGTATTTTTTTTTGTTCAAGATTTATCTGACATCTGTTTGGAAACGTGCCGTCGATTACAGGCAATGCCACAATTCAATTAGACAGACAGACAGCCGACCCACAGACCAGCCGGCAACAGCAGCAGCAGCAGCGTGAGAAAACGTATCGGATCGGACGTTGAGGCCTCAAGTAGCGGCTACAATCCGCACGTCAATTAATATTCGATATGGTAATATATACCACACTTCTACGCTACGGTTAATGAAATGTACTTTATGTTTTACATTTACGATGATTCTAAGACATTTATGAGCACTATTTTAGATCTAATTTGATGCCAGGGAAACTGGTTGAGACTCAACCAATTGCACCCAAATGTCGGGCTATTAATTTGTTATGATATTTAAAATAAATATCTATGCTAGATTCTAATCAAATCAAATGTTAAATGGTTATAAATCTTTTGGGATGATTTTCTGTATGTAAAAATAAAACTAGCTCACAGTATTTAAATTCGGAACGAAATTTAATCAAATGAAAGATTCAAATTATACTAAAAAACTCCAAAAGGTTATTTAATTTAATTCAGTCGAGCAAAAAATTCAATATTTATTTTCATGAACTGGTAATTAAATCACATAAATTACGAACTGGTTAATTGATTAAATCAAAAATTAACTTTATTTAAGGTTATTTAAAAAATACGATTACTCCGTTAGCCCACTGGCCCACTCACCTGCTTTCGTACACCCGGAAATATGACCAAAAATGCCACATAGAATGTGGCAAATAGAACAGAGACTGCCACAATGGAGACATCACCGGTGACGGGTGTTCGGTTGGAGAATGAATATAGCGTTGGTCCCCCATCGTCTCGAAACGCGTCGAACCAGCCTTTCATGCTGGTTGTTGAGGCTTATGGCTGTGATGTTTGTGGGGAATCTACAACCATATGTGTGGGTAACAAAAAATCAATAAATTAATAAAAATAAATATGTAAAAAAATAAAATCCCAAATATAAGAGCAATGGATGGATGGATATATTTTGAAAGAGCACTTAATTAATGAGATTTGCATTGCAAAATCATGCAAAGAGGCCACTCTCATCTCGCATCTTGCAGATACAATATCTGCAATTCGTGACTAAGCTTTTAGGTAGCGAATACTTCAATCCTCAAGTGACAGGCAGGCAGCTCAATGCAAAAATTAGTTTTGCAAATAGAGATAAAAATAATATGCAAATCAATTTATATATACATTATACCATTAGGTAGCCCTCTCGTACCCGGAAATGTAAAAGATACCAAAGAAAAATAGATAACGAATTTCTGGCATTATTTGAAACAAAGGAATTTAATTTCAAAGGCCTCAACATAATGTTTGTTTCGAAAAGCCACGAAGATTGAACGAACCAGAAATGAGACCTAGAACCGGATTCCAGCAACAAACAAATTAACAATAAAACGCGATTCCAACAAAAATCTTCAGATGCGATGAACAATTAAGAGAGAGACTGAGAAACCGCCGGCGAGAAGCCATCATCAGCATCAGCTGCTCGCTGACTGCCGGACTTCTGCCACTTCTGAGGGGTGGATGACGTAGGCAAAAGCTACTATAATTAAGTGTCGAATGATATTGAATGAGTCTTGAACGATAATATAGGTGTTTTGGTGGCGAATTTATAAATACCCTAGGAATAATAATACACGGGGCAACTACCAATGATATGTTAATGAGGTTGTCTAGAGGTTGAACTTGGGGCCATAGATCCACGACTGACAGGAGAGCTGTGAGGTTTTTTAAATTAAGATTCAATGGAAATTTATGGTAGTGTGGAATATGTATTTAAATCTCATTCTAAAGGCTTTATACTTTGAAGGAATATATTTATGAAAGCGGAATTTTAGAAGATATTTTATGGGAAAAGCATTTTTGACCGTAGTGGATGCAGAAAACTTTATAAAAGTCTACATTTTTGTGGACTTTAATTAAAAATTGGATTAAAGATCATTTTTGAAATTTTGAAGAATTTATCCGCCGATCCTTCATATCATGATCGACAATCCCATGATCTCATATCCAACAACTCATCATCTTTGTTGCAATCCAATCAAGAGACTGTACAAATGAAATAAAAAACTCATTATACCCCTTTAGGTTTTTTTTGTCAGCGGCAAAAAGGCAAAGGCTAGCGGTTAAGAGCATTGCTCATACGCATAACTTGTTACGTTGACAGCGGCACACGGATGTAAGTTTCGATCGATATCTCAACATTCAGTTGGTTTTACCCAGCACACGGCACAGCACAGCAGAGCACACAGCACGAGTTCTGGTGGCATGTGAAAGTCTCAGTCGAAAAGGGGCCCCAGGGTGTAGAATGAGAATCGAAACGAAATGCTACCCTTGGGATATAGATTTTGCAAGTTCCGCAACGAGGTCTGTTAAGAATTTCATTCTTCATTAACATTTAATTTATTTATTGTTCAATCGCCATCCATCCATCCATCAATGCTTTTTAAAGTTCACTTACCAAACTTGTCAAACAGAAACTGGCATACAAAATAATTGTTTTTTTTTTGCTTGTTTTTATTTCGATTTGATTGGTTTTTTTTATATTTTGTTTAATCCAATTTCGATGGCCAATTCAAAAATGTATATCTTCGTGTTAGCTAAATAATCGAAAAAAATTTGCATTTATGATTAATGGAGAAGATAATGGGAGACTGCCATCAATTTTTGCACGCACGCACACACACACTTTTATTTGCAGTTAAATTATTAATTAAATTTGTTGTTGTTGAAAATAAATTCTTGTTTTCACAGCTTTATACATGAAATTTTTTAAATTGTAAAGACGTGAATTTTATGGTGTTTTTCGCACTTGTTTTTAGGGATTCAGGGACTTGTTTTAAGCATTTTAATTAAGCTTACGTTTTATGTTATTTATTTTTCAGGTATTTTCTGTATTGTTTATACGTCATCTTATTATCAGAATTGAATTGCAGTAAATATTGGTTTTTAAAGGCAGATTGCTATCTCTCTGTTTTAATCTGATTTGGTTTGTTTTTTTAATTATTCCTTAAATTGACTCTACATTTCTTTAAAAAACCACAAAAACCTTTGTTCTTGACATAAATCTTTTTCCATTTTCTATAGATTTTTCCAATTTCAAAGATTATTTTCGTTTTAGTTTATTTTCGATTGTTCGTAACATTTTTTTCTGACAATTCTTTAAATGCCAGAAAAATGTTTTTCTTGGAAAATGCATTTTACTGTCTGCTTCTATGGGGGGAGAATAGTGGGGGGTGCACCCCCATTGGGTTGGATGATTTTTGTTGTAGTTTTAGTTTTTTGCTGTTTGTTGCACGTTGCAATGAACCGGTTTAACTAGTCAACAGTGCCGCCACCGCCGCCAGACGTTGCACATAAATTGCATTTTATTTTTAAAAACCCGGTAATAAATTGTTTCATTTATAATTAGAATTTTTCGCCAGTCTGACAGCAGCAGCAGCAGCAGCAAAAAAAAGGCCAACAAAATGGAAATGGAAAAACTAACAAGGTGCGAAAATATAGGGGGTGAGCTTTTTAAGCCTTTGTTTCTGCTGCTGCTGTTGGTTGACCTTCGCATATTTGTGGCAGGAGCTGGTTGCCGCTTTTTATTCGACGCGCTTTATTAGCTCAATTTTACAACAAAAGCAACACAAAAGGGAAAGCCAGTGTCGGATGTCGAAGCTTTTGATACACTTTCCAGTCGATCGTTCATATAAATGTTGTAGGTGGATGTGATTTGATGTTGATCGAAAATTTGCAGAATTAAAAAGAAAAACATTAAACTACATGAAGGACTTTTTTCTCGATGGTGCAAACATGTGCACAAAATCATGATACTCTCCTGCAAAGCGTACAACAATGCTCGGACAACAATGCAGTCGCAGTCGCTGCCTGCTGTTGCAGTCGCAGTCGATGTTTTTCTGCCGCTATTTTGCGGTCGCTGCGTTGCGGTCTGCGTCGACGCTGGACTTGGCACCAAAACGTAAAGCTCAACGCATTCGCAGCGTCTCTCTTGCATGTGGAAATCGGCAAAGCATATTACGTTATTACGTTACAGGCACCAACAACAGCATCAGCAACAACAATGCCACAAAAACAACAATGGAAACAGAGACATTACAGTTACAAAATGAAACTAAAGAGGCAGAGCAGAGAGGGGGAAAAAAACAGCAGCAACGCACACACAAAAGGCGTTGACGGGACAGTGGCACGCAGACTTGTTGGTGGGACTATTTAATTAATGTTTTAAGTTTTTTCATCACAAATTGAAAGTATTTTGTTGAAGAGTTTTGCTAGTAGCTTTGGTCAAGTATTTTTGGCTATCATTTCACTTTAAAGTCCCACTGTACTCTTTCGTAAACACAGCAGCACACACATTAGTTTATGTGCTCTCACTCTCACTTGCTCTCTTTCTCTGCCAGCCGCTGTCTATTTTCATCATTGATTCTTAAGATCATTTTGATCACAATTAATATTCACTTTGTATTAATTCGTCCATCTAGGTTCTCTCTTATCACACATGCTTATTATTTCACTTAAAATTCCAACTGCATCATCTTGTGATCAACGCCGCTTCCACCAACAGTGCTCTCTTTCTTTCCCAGCTACTGTCTGTCTCCGCCAACGACCCACATGCAGTGGGTGGGACTTTTTCTTTAAAGTTTATGATTTTCAGAAGTTTATTTTATAACTAACTTAATTTAATATTTCATGCACGTTTTCTTGATTATTCTATTATTAATTCTTAACACATTCCACTGTCCACTGTGAGTAGCAACGCCCGCATTTCATTTATTCGACTCACTGTCCACTGTACCAGCAAAAACGGCACCGCAAAGCAAGTGAAGAGTGGCGTCATCGCAGCTTCCCACTGCAGCCCACTCTCACTCTCATTTGCTCCGTTTCTTTCGCTCTCTCTCTCTCTCTCTCTGTATCGTAGCCACTGTCTGTCTCCATTACGTCTCTCCGAGACTACCGCCTGACTGCAGCTGTGTTTTTTTTTCTTTTATTATTTTCAAGTCCAACGAAAGTGAAATTGCTGCCGCTCCCCTTTCCGTTGGTTTTGCTCTCTTCTCTTTGCCAAGCTTTACCTAGCTTTACCTGTTCGCCCCTACCCCCTCTTGCTGGTTGTTGAGGAAATGAAGCAAACATGAAATTGACATAATCAACACGCAGCTGTACCTGGTGCAGGCGCGCGGACTGTTGGGGGTTAGGGGGTTGCCTCTGCAAATGTCTTTAAAAACTCCTCTGTCGACGTCTCTGTCTGCGTTACAGGTTTTTGTGTCGCCTTGTTGCTTTTGTTTTTGCGGTTGCTTTTGGTGTAGTTTTTTTGTTGTGTGTTCAATGAGCGCTGGTGCGTGTAAATATGTAAGAGTCGCCTTCAACCGGCTTTTTCGTGCAATTTTTTTGCGTTTCTGTTTTGATACCCTGCCAGCAGAAAGAGGGTGTTATCGAAGCGAATATAAGGGCGAAATTTACAAATTTATTTCTTATCTGATTTTTCTCAAATTTTCCACAGAACGACAACAATTCTGAATCGTTCTAATACTATATCACACGCAGTACCGTTCCACCTGCAGGGTACCAAACACTTCGGTTAGCTTTCTTTCCTGTTTCAGTTTGTAGTTTATTTTTGCGTTTTTTTGTTATTTTTGCGCTGGTCAGTTTGGCGTGCTGTCAGTCAGTTATATACGCGAATGCGAACAAGTTGAATCATCTACCATATAGGAAATGGAACTGCAGATGAAGTAATCCCACAGTGTCTGCCCTGCCCTGCCTCCGCCTCATGGCATGGAAATTACACAGTCAAAACGCATCACCAGCCAAAATCAACCTGATGCACACACACTCATACCCATACCCACCCATAGAGACACTAAAGGGCAAAGCAAACGATAAAACACCGACAGGCACAAACGCCCAAAGGGGAAAAAAGAAGATGAAGAAGAAGAAGAAGCCAAAAACAAACAAAAGCAAGTGTTGAGTAAGAGAGAGGGACGGACAAAAGACAACGGGAAAAATGTGCATCCAAAACGTGCACGGTTTTTTTTTCGACTCCCGCTCACAGCAGAGAGGGAGAGCCATATATGCGGCAGATCTCTTCAGAAGTTTTTGGGGGCGTTCTTTGTGTGTGATTAAATTTTATTTTTAGATTGTCTTATATTTATTTTAGCGCTTTTTTTTTGACGAGCTTCTGACACTTTTTCGGTGAATTATTTATAAATAATTTATGAAGCTTATTGTTCACGGATTTCTTTTAATGATATGTGATGTAATAGTTATTTTTGTATTAATTTTAAAGTTTAATTCTTTGATTGATTATTTTAGTTATTATTAAAACGTATGGCTCTTTCTTTTTATAGGAACGGGAAGCATTTGTAGATATTAAATGCCAGCTGTTGTGACATTTCAACGCTCATTTAATTTTGATGTATTTTTATAAATTACTCAGGCACTTTTTCATTTCAATTAAATTCGCTTGAATGCATTGCATATTATTTCGCACATGTTTTTGTATAAAAACCGAAATTGCAACATGTGGAGTGGCTTCACTCATTTAATTAACTTTTTACGATTATGGCCGAAATTTGCTCAATTATTTTTTTTGGTTTTATTTGTTTTAATTTTTTTTAAGATGCCCGCGAATTGGTTTGGATTTTTTGTTGTATGCTTAATGTGTTTGTATTATTATTATTATATGCAGACAAAAATCACAAAGCATAAATACAAATAACTAGATGAGCTTCCAAGACCTATTTTTTACCGTTATATTACCGTTTCCAAATTATAACAATTTGGAATAGAGGCGCGCGCGGCTTTTGCGGTTTATTTTGTATGTTTGTTTTTTGCAAACTTTTTGTCGGTTTTTGGTTTTTTCTTTTCTTTTCCTCACTTTTTTCGACCACCATGCGTTTTGCATGCCATAACACACACCACACACGAAACAAAAGCAAACAACTAAAAAAACACAATTCCGTTTCGTATTCGTTTGGTGGGTTTTTGCTTTTGCTGGATCGATCGTCGGTCTGCGCCTGCGCAACGTTCGCGTCTCCGTCTTACGTTTTCTTTTTCAGCGTCCGCTTTCAGCGTCTGTCTTCGGAAGACTGAGTAAGCTTTGGCGCTCGACACCCGACAAAATACAGTAAGAGAGCGACGAGACGAGATCGGAAAACATGAGAGGGTGAGAGAGAAAAAAGCTTTGGGGGCCAGAGCTTTTACTGTTGCTAATTGCCGGCTAAGTGAGTGTGAATTTATGGGGCACTCAGAAGATCAGTAGGGAGAGCACAGCACGGAACAACAACAACAAGGAAAAACCTGACCGGGAACTTGGGGGCCGCCCCGACACAGCGACAGGGCTATTATTCCTGATCAGGGACCTTGCCCGTCTATACTTTGGCATACTTTCGAAAACGAAACTGAAACTGAAACAGATTCCGAAACTGGTTCACTTTGGGGATGACCTCACACAATGTTAATAAGAAACATTACAAAATTATATAAATTTAATCAGCAAGTCAAGAATATCGAAACACCTGTCACATGGAAGCCAAAGCAAATCAAAGCATACAAAAAGCAATTAAAAATA